TCTTCATCGATCGGGTGGATCTATATGCTCCGGGGTGGTGAGACGAGGTGTAGCGCAGTCTGGTCAGCGCATCTGTTTTGGGTACAGAGGGCCATAGGTTCGAATCCTGTCACCTTGATGTGATGGTACAGTCAGTAAGAATGACATGATACATGAGCAAGTAGGCGGTGATCTTTTTATCATCTTTCTTGCAGGCATTGAATGAGCCAAATCCCTTGATTGCCAGTTTCATGCGGTGTCTAGTCGCATCGGTACGGGATTCCCTATGCCCCTCCTCTTTGGTGTAGTTTACGTTAGTTTCTCACAAGTTTCTCACACAGGAAGTGCTACTCAAACTGAGCTAAACCTGTCTTCTTCTTCCTTTCCGTTCTACCACCAATCTCTGTACTGGGGCATCTATTTTCCTACCCCGGTATCCGTTTTACTTGTTCCCGGCCGAACCCGCTCTTACCCCATCTCCTCTTCTTTTTTTCTTTTTCGGAAATGAGTGATGTTCAGAACGAGCTTTTCGGTCAGACTAGTTTGCAGTCCTAAATAAGTAAGGGGAAAATGGTCGATCGGGAAGCTTACCTTTCACTTCGACTAGCTTCAAGTAAGAACCATATTCAAATAAGTTACTGACCACTCTCGCTATCTCCCATCTACGGCGTAGCTACGGCAGGAGGAAGTGACAACGAACAGTACGCTTATGACTTCACTCGCTATACGCTTCAGACTAGGGTCTCCTTTGCGAAAGCAAATTGAGGTAGAACTACCCACTAAGCTCCTTCCTTGCTTAGCTTAGCAAACTACCTTGATTCTATTCTTGTCCGATTTTCCCTGGGAAACTCCTAATGAAATACCTTTTGTCTATCCGGACTGCCTTAGATGCGGATTGGCTTATCTCTTTGCACAGACCAACTTACACCTAGCCTCTTCAGAAGGCGGCTTCGGAACATCCACCTCTACACCCCACTACTATGATGGGTTCCACTTCATTATTTGTTGACCTCCACTCGTATCAGTCCGTCTTCGCCTAACTGGCTACACTTCAACCATCCTCACCTAATAGTTGTCATAAGTCAACAGTCTTTATAGGACTAGGCTTGCACCTCGGTATAACTAGAAAGGTTTATCTAATGCGAACTAGACCGAATTCCAGAAAAGAGCACTTGGGGATTGGTTAGCTTCTCTGGAAAAGAAGTTCGGGAATGGAGAAATCTCACAAGTCGAGGTAAGAAGAGTCTTTTGAATGGAAACCCCGGAAAGGTGGAAACTATGCTTTCATGCCCGCTTTTCTCTCTGCTTTCGGGTATGAATCCCTTCTTTTATCTCATTTAGCAGCTACCTTCCCGCTTAGAGTTGGATCTTAGAAACTGGGGTAGGATTTGAAAGTACTTCGTAGCTAGCATTCCTTCTGATCTAAGCCTTTGAGCTGCTTTCCCTATCTCTTCTCCATGGATCACTGAACATGACTTCTATATATACACAATTTTTTGCACTTCTGAAAAGTCTCATTCCCCAGCGAATATCCATAGAAGGAGAGCAACTGACCAGCTTAAAATAGGTAAAGAAAGAATCCTAATTCCAACACCTAGTCTCGGTCGGTAGGGAAGGACAAACTCGAATGAACTCGGCTAATTGGTTGTTAAGAAAGATCTTAGGGGCAGACAATAAGAGCTTAGAGTGGACGCTCTGAGGGCTTAAACTCCGGAATTCGAAACCCTCAGAGAAATGCAAAAGCAAGAAATGTCACCAAAGCTCATATTGGAATTGGCTTTCCATGGTAGTGCCTTTAATGACGCGCCTTTAAGCTAGGGACATCTTGAGTTGGCTCATTGCTTGGCTGAAGGGAGTGTCAATGCTGACATTCAATGGGTTGATAGGGACTCCACCTCTTCCTCTTTCCTCTTGACCGAATCTGTAACCTTCATTAGCAGATTCATTTTCTGTGGTTTCCCTGATCAAACTAGAAGTTACCAAGGAACCATGCATAGCACTGAATAGGGAACCGCCGAATACACCAGCTACGCCTAACATGTGAAATGGGTGCATAAGGATGTTGTGCTCAGCCTGGAATACAATCATAAAGTTGAAAGTACCATAAATCCCTAGAGGCATACCATCCGAAAAACTTCCTTGACCAATCGGGTAGATCAAGAAAACAACGATGGCAGCTGCAACAGGAGCTGAATATGCAACAGCAATCCAAGGTCGCATACCCAGACGGAAACTAAGCTCCCACTCACGGCCCATGTAACAAGCTACACCAAGTAAGAAGTGTAGAACAATTAGTTCATAAGGACCACCGTTGTATAACCATTCATCAACGGATGCTGCTTCCCAGATCGGGTAAAAGTGCAAACCGATAGCTGCAGAAGTAGGAATAATGGCACCTGAGATAATATTGTTTCCGTAAAGTAGAGATCCAGAAACAGGTTCACGAATACCATCAATATCTACTGGAGGAGCAGCAATGAAGGCAATAATAAATACAGAAGTTGCGGTCAATAAGGTAGGGATCATCAAAACACCAAACCATCCAATGTAAAGGCGGTTTTCGGTGCTGGTTATCCAATTGCAGAAGCGACCCCATAGGCTTTCGCTTTCGCGTCTCTCTAAAATTGCAGTCATGGTAAAATCTTGGTTTATTTAATTATCAAGGACTCCCAAGCACACGAATTTTCTATACTAAAAATGAAAATAGAAAATGGAAGGCTTGTTATTCAACAGTATAACATGACTTATATGTTCGTGTCAACCAATCCATAGAATTTCGAAATGACAGTGGGTTGCCCGGGATTCGAACCCGGAGCTAGTCGGGTGGAGTAGATAATTTCTTTGTTATGTTAGTTAAATAAAGAAAAACCCCTCCCCAAGCCATGCTTGCATTTTTCATTGCACACAGCTTTCCCTATGTGGACACCATTTTCTTTCTTATAAATATTTTTCAAAAAGTTGAATACTCAGTTGATTTAACCCTTAATTCCCAAACTACATCAACATTTCAGAAGAGTGGAAATCCCATTTTGATTTGGGATTGACCAAAAAATATCCAAAAACCAAATCCGACTTCTATAGATTCTTCGCAAAATTGAAGAAGCTTTTGGGAAGGCCAAAAAAAGAACGTCTTCGTCCGTCCTAAGAAATTCTTCCAATAATTCCGAGCCTATGTCTTTTCAAGAAGCTAGAAAAGACAAGAAGTGGATTGAAGCCATGGATGAAGAGATTCGAGCCATTGAAAAGAATGACACATGGGAGCTAGTACCACGACCACTTAATCAGCAAATCATTGGTGTCAAGTGGGTGTATAAGGCAAAGAAGAATGACAAGGGAGAAGTTGAGAGGTACAAAGCCCGGTTGGTAGCGAAAGGCTATAAGCAAAAACATGGAGTTGATTATGAGGAAGTGTTTGCTCCGGTGGCCCGATTGGAGACAATTCGGCTACTAATCTCACTCTCGGCGCAAAATCATTGGAAGATACAAAAATTGGATGTTAAGTCCGCTTTTCTCAATGGATACCTTAAGGAGGATGTGTATATTGAGCAACCACTCGGTTATGTTGTTCAAGATCATGAAGATAAAGTTTTGAAGTTGAAGAGGGCACTCTATGGGCTCAAGCAAGCCCCTCGAGCATGGAATAGTCGTCTTGACAAATATCTGCAAGATGATGGATTTTCAAGATGCCAAAGTGAGTATGCACTTTATGGGAAGGTGGAAGATGGACACGTGCTATTTGTTTGTGTCTACGTGGATGATCTCATCTTCACCGGAAGCAATCCGAGGATGGTTGAAGATTTCAAGAAGTCCATGGCTCAAGAATTTGAAATGAGTGACATGGGATTGATGTCGTATTATTTGGGAATTCAAGTAAATCAAATGGAGGAAGGAATTTGCATCTCTCAAGAAAGCTATGCAAAGGATGTGCTAAAGAAGTTCAACATGCTTGGAAGCAAACCGGTGAGCACGCCGATGGAGCATGGAGCAAAGTTGTCCAAAACTAAGGAGAATGAAGACCGTGTTGATTCCACCACATTCAAAAGTCTTGTTGGAAGTCTAAGGTACTTGACTTGCACTAGACCAGATATTTGATTTTCGGTTGGAATTGTGAGTCGTTACATGGAAGTTCCTAGCCAAGCACATTGGATGGCGGCAAAGAGGATACTTCGATATATCAAAGGTACCCTTCGTTTTGGCTTGTTTTATTCATCTTCCAATACTTCCAAGTTGATGGGATATTGTGATAGCGATTATGGTGGAGATATTGACGATAGAAAAAGCACTACGGGATTTGTATTTTTCATGGGATAAAATCACATACATCAATTACTTACCCTTTAGAGAATGTTGATAACCAACACAAAAAAGTGACCCTTTAGAGAATGTTGCTAACCAACACAAAAAAGTGACCCTTTAGAGAATGTTGCTAACCAACACAAAAAAGTGACCCTTTAGAGAATGTTCAAGTAGTTGCGCAGAGAACACAAATTTTAGAACCTTTAGACAATGTTGAAGTAGTTGGTCAGAGAAAGATAGTACGAAACACAACACACAAGCTTAAGTAGTTGGTCAGAGAAAGAAAGAACACAAACAAAGACAAACCATAGAGAGAGATAGTAGAAAAGACAACCCTTTAAGTAGTTGGGCAGACAAAGAACACAAACAATTGCTTAGATAGTTGGTCAGAAATAGAGAGAAAAAGCAGGTACAGAGATGATAGGTAGGGAAAAGAAGACAGATGCAGGAGGGAAACACACACAGGAGAGAGAGCGATAAACAGAAAGAGACCCAACACAAACAAAGGAAAGAAAGACAACAAAACCAGAAACCTAGAGATACAACCGAATGGATGCTGCAATTCATATGGGGCCCCATATATGTCCTACTTTGTCGATTCTTGATTCCTATCGCCGGTTTCTATTTTCTTTGTCGGGATTAGGTTGTGCTCAACCCCCTCCGAGGGGAGACCCAATTGTGACCTCTACTTCTGAGGGAAAAAGTTGTCGAAAAAGAAAACCACCATGAACATGTTTGATCTACGCGGGTTAGCACTCCCCCAAAGCAGTCTAGGGCAGCCCAACCCCTCAAGTTGGCATAATTCTTATTTGTCCGATGTTCCTCGTTTAATTGATTTCAAGTCCGATGTTTCCCGATTCAGTGATTGTCAGTCCGATGTACCTAGTTTTATGCATTCCCAGTTCGATGTTCCTCGTTTTTTGCATTCCCAGTCCCGTAGTTTGCTTTTGGCTTATCAGTTTGGTAGTCATAATCTGATCAATAGACATGAATGGTGCTATCCCATGAAAAGAATAGGGATAATGAATCGATATGAAAATCGAAATATGAGACAATTGAATGTTCATACAAGAAAGTTCCACATTGGTGACTCGTTTTGGGATCGATTTCTAAATGAACTAGAAGCTCTTACCGTCAGTAAAGAATCAAAGCCTATCGAAAGAGTAGTCAAACTCCTGGTGGATTTCGAGAAAACCGGTCATATAGATTATATTATGCTAGAGCATGAGATTGAGGATGTGTCCCTATTCCCTAAGGAAGGAAATACCTACAAGGCTGTTGCCCGCTTAATGAAGATGGTATTCAACATGGAAGAACCTCCTAAGTTATACATGCATAAGAAGTTACCTAGTGTTATGTATGACCGGTATATATCTCCCCTCGGTGTGCACACGCTGGAAGCTATTATTTTGGTGGTGCTGGGGTTAGCATTCAGTGGTATTAAAGTCAGAACAATGGTAAGAGCAGCAACCTTCATTGAGTTGTTGGATACAACAATTCGAACGCAAGTTTCTAGACTTCAAAAGAATCCTTTGGATAATAAGCCTGATACTTCCACCCTTAAAGAGAGGATGTTAGGGGAAACCCTGCTCAGTTATATAACAAAACATGGTATACTTCACTATGAGCTAACTCACGAGGGAACTGCAGTAGTTAAAGAGAAAGGTAAGGGTTATGTCAAGACAAGGCTAAACCTAGTTTGTAACTTCGAGATAAGTGAACTCCCAGCTATGCTCAATCTTCCAATGGTTTGCAAGCCGGTGGATTGGCACATCCCAGATGGGCGCACATCGTCTTCGGGCACTATTCGTGTATCTGACCTTCAAGGCGGTTACTTAAACCAACCTAACATGGAAGTGTATAATCGCATTAGTCTTATGTCATCCAAAAACCTCGTGAATTTCAACATTGAATTAAAGAGAGAGAAATGTGATGAAACGTTGACCTTATTGAATGGGCTTCAGGGCCAAGCATTTCAGATTAATAAAAAGTTGTTGAACTTTATCAAGGGGAATCGTCCTGCCCTAGAAAAGGAAGGACTGCTTATGCCCGAGCTACTTGCTAGGGTCAACCCTAAAAAAGCATTGGATCTGATGAGATCCTTCTATTTTCAGAATCTAGAGGGGATACAGGAAAAGAATAGCCTTGAAAGCCTCTTGATGGAAGTATCTGTTAAGATACAACAAGCCTTTACTGAGGGTTTAATACTGCAGGTTGCTTCTGCCTACGAAGGATATGATTTCTATCTTCCTGCCTTTTTGGATTTCCGTGGTAGAATCTACCGTTCGGGTATATTGCATTTCCACGAGCGTGATTTAGCTAAAAGCCTGCTCTTGTTTTCTCAAACAGGCCGGGTGTTTAATAACACATCCTTTCCGGAAAGTCGGGATATAATAGAAACATCCACCGCTTTTAAATATCAAAAATTCATGAATTATGAGGAGGCTCTGAAATGGTATAAAAATAAGAAATCTTATCTCTCGAACTCGTATGAGAATATAATAAGCACAGCAAAAGATGCGAGCGATCCGTTTCAGTTCATGGCGAAAATCCTCCTTAATGAGTATGATGATAAAGATGAATCAAATAGGGTTACGCCTATAAGTCAGGATGCATCTTCCAGTGCTTATCAAATAATGAGTTACTTTTTGCTTAACTACGAAATGGCAAGGAGTACAAACCTCTTATCCAGCAATGATAACAAGATCAAAGATCTGTATACCCTCATGCTTGAGGAAATCAAGTCCTTTTTAAGGGAGAAAATTGATGATAAAAACATCTTGAACATCATACTGATAGCTATGAATAGAAAACTAGTCAAACAACTATTCATGCCCATGGTCTATGGGAAGACACTCAAAAGTATGGAACAGGATATTAGCGAGCATTATGGGGCTTACCTTAGCAGGCGGGATTCATCTTCTCTTGCGAGACTTGTTAAAGAGTTCTTTATCTATAAGTATCCCGATATTGATAACTTTTTGAAGTTGATTGCCACCGTCGGTTGGTTATGTTCGACTATGGGTAGAGCTGTAGTCTATAGCACTCCCTTTTTCTCAACAAAACAAGATTATATGTCTTTCGATAAAGAAAAGATAACGGTCACAGATAGGAAGACCCGAAAGAAAAGAACCATCACTGTGAATATACCAACCACAAAGAGGGATAAGCGAAAGACAAACACCTCAACGTGCGCAAACTTCATCCATCAAAAAGATGCGTACATAGCCATGAAAATGATTGAAGCCGTTGTAATAAGAAATATTGATCCTATCTACACTGTTCATGATAACTTTATCACTATACCGCTTTTAGCAAAAGAAATACCGAATTTATATCTATCCATCTTTGAGCAGATGAAGCATCCACTTTCAATAGTGAATGAATTTCTCATAACGAATTTAGTGAACCCTTATTACGAGAAAACAAGAGAACACCCACTGCATTCATACAAGGGGTTGCTGGCACCTATACCAGTTGAGGATCTTCTCAATTTCCTTATAGAAGTAGACACAAAGAAAGATAAAAGGAGAGAAAAGTACCAACTATTAATTCAATATTACCAGAAGTATTCAGAATCGGTGTGGTGCAAGGAAACAGGAGAACAGAAATGGGGGGCATTTAAAGAGGAACTTATTAATGGGAGGAAAGACAACTTCAGCTTGCATTACTAAGATTGGGATAGGAGAACTACATTTGATCTGATACCCGAAGTCTCCTGGTGGTGGGTTATGTAGGCGTCAAGCCAGCTCTTGACTCGATCTTTGGTGCTGCTGCTGCGGGGAGCCCTTCCACACCTCTGCTTCCTGTAAAGTGGGATACTATCGAAGTAGCAATCCTAGGTCCTACCAGGATGTCTTTTTGTTGTTGGTTTCTTGACTATCATTCTCTTTTTCTAAGCTTTCATTGGCAGGCTTTTTCTCAGTAGTGTCAGAGTCCTTCTTCTCTAGATCCTTTCGAAGGAATTCTAGAATTGTATTAGCGTCTTCATTACCAACATCCCTAACTTTTATAGGTTGGGTGTCAACCCACTGGGGTTTTCCTTCTTGACTGCCTTGTGGTGGGTGATAGATCGGCAACCTCTTCGTGCTGTCAGGCAGAGAGAGTTTGAAATTCATTTTCTCTTTCATGATTTTGAGGTGTTTCAAAGAGACTCTGAAATCTGAGTGAATTGTATGTTGCTCTGTGTGATACGGATCTTGTAAGACTGTATGGAACCACTCTTCTGTTACATACTCCTTAGCAGCCCCTTTGAACTTCAAGACATTGTCTTTGTCTTCGTTATACTCAAAATAGGCCTTTGGCGCAGCAAAGATACAGTATCTGGGTGTTGATTCGAGTTTGAATTTCCCTAATTCCGTGGATGAGATGTATTCGTCTGGCAGCGGGTTTTGAAGAAATACAGAGTCGGTATCGGTATATAAGCAGTCCGGCCTAGATATAAATGGATACATATGAATACGAGCATAAGCAGTTATAGCAGCGGATATATGAACCGCAGTCATTGTAGGGGGTTTCCATTCATTTGAATCTGAAAAGGGTTTGTTCACTATGTACTGAACAATATAGCAGTCATTGGTAAGCTTATATGCAGATTGAAAACCGGAACTAGAGATATATTCCTCGCTTTTGTTCAATTATAAATAAATAAGCACTTTGATGGAGATTTATAGCATCATTCAAGTAAATACAGATTGAGATCGTAGAAACATGAGCTTGTGATATAGCTACACCTAATTCCAGACCGGTTAATGCAAGAACTATAAATAAAGGACCAGGATCCCCTATGAAATAGAAAAGATCATTCATACATAGCATAGTCCAAGCGGACCCACTTAAAATCTTTACTGAACTATGACCGGCCATCATATTAGCAAATAAACGTATTCCTAAGCTTAATGCGCGAAAACAATGAGGGATTAGCTCAAGGAGTACTAAAAAAGGTGCTAACGGAAGTGGGACTCCTGCGGGTAATGAGAAGCTTAAAAAATGAAGCCCATTTTTTTGAAATCCCACTATAGTAATGCCAATAAAAAGAGAAAATGAGAGACCCAAAGTAATGAGAAAATGACTTGTAACTGTGAAGCTATAAGGTATCATACCCTGGAGATTACGAAATAACGAAAAAGTAAAAGTAACCGAGATGCAAGGGAAAAACTTTTCTTTCACATTTCCGGAAAGACCACCTATTTGTTCCTTTACCAGGTTCGGCACGAAATCATAAATAAGCTCTACCAAGGATTGCCAAGCATTTGGTACTGACTTTCCTCCTCCCTTTTTAGTAACAAAATGAACAAAAAGTAGGAAAAAACTGAGAGTGAGTAGCATAAACAAAGATGGATTTGTGAATGAGAAATACAAGTCTCCTAGTTTCATAGGAATCAATGGAAGAATCTCAAATTGCTCAAGGGGGCTGCGGATGAAAAACTTTTGAAAGGCATTCTGAAAGTCTGCGTCCGCGGTCCCTGCTCTGTTTAAATTATCTAAAATGTCTTGTAAAAATTCAGCATTATTGCTTTCTCCATGCAATTCCTCGGCTACAGCTAGAATGATGTCTTCAGGAACCTCAGCTTCAGCTCCCAACATTAATTCTTCTACTTTCTCGCGGATAGCACTTTGTCTCTCTACGATATTTTCACTGGGCGGGTTAATAAGACCAGGATGATCCTCATAAATTCCGTCGGAATGAGAAGGAGCCAGAGTCAAAGTAGAATCGGTAATAGTCGTCGTAGACTGATCCGTACGATTAGTTATCGCAGTACTAGTAGTACTACTAGTTCCGAATGGATTTATAACAGTAGAAGTATCACTGGAACTTGAACTTCGAAATGGAAACATGATTGATTGAGAATAAATGATTCCCTCCAGACAGAAAGAAAGTCGGAGTAGTGAAGAAGGATAGAACTTTTTTTGGTTGTTGACCAACGGAAAAGATGGGATTATTTGGACAAAGGCGTAGAAGAGAGGGGCATGATCTTCAAAGCCTTTTTCCTCTCTTAAGAGAACCCCCTTTTTGGTTTTTGGATGGTGGGGGTCAGGTCAGACGTAGTTCTACCGCAAGTTAGGGCAGCGGCAAGCCCACGGAGCGGCGGAAATCCTGGTCGGTGAAATGGCGATAGAATTCCCGGTAAAATTCCGATTGTCTAGCCACTCCCTCGTCGGAGGGCAGCTGGTTTATAAAGGAATTGAGACTACCGTCCATGATATGCCATTGAAAGGGATGGTTTAGGCCGCTAACCGGCTCCACCTTATATTGAAGAAAGTTATACGCTTCCCTTCTGATATCATCATAAGGGGAAAGCCTCATAATTCTTGAAATATTTCTTTCTGTAATCAGAAGATGGTGGAGCCTATCTTGCAATATAGCTTTCCTCTCCAAAAAGAGTAATTCGTTATATTCCCGATCCCAAATTTCTCGATAATGGTTCACATTCAGAGCTTGATCGAAGTGCTCTCGAACAAGTCTTTCATATTCGCCATTCATATTCTGCGGGGGTACATTATATAAGTTTTGCTGCTCCAGAACTCTGATTCGCGCAAAGAGTTCATTTTCGTTATCCACCATAAGAACATTTCGAAAAGTAGTAAGGGATTCAGAAGTCGAGGAAGACTCCAATACAGGAACACTAGTTATGGAACTACCTGATTGGGACTCCGCATTTGAATGCGACCCCGACGAGACATGTAAACCCCAAGAAAAAGTAGCCGTCACACCGACAAAAGCCAGGATTTTTTCAAAAATGAGGAAACGCATCAGATGCGAGAGACATACTACCAGCACATATATAAGAACTACTAAAAAAAACAAAAACATCTTCTTTTTTTTGTTGAAAAAATGGAAAGGGAAAGTAGGGCTTTATACATCATCATAAAATTGATTACCAAAGAAAATATGAGAAAAAAAAGAAAGAAAGATGCAGGTCTAGTCATTATAGCGGTTCCTTCTGATCCTAGAAAACGTCCGAAAAAACCTGCTACGGAACTACCGAGGAGGGGCAAAAATACGATAAGTAGATACATAATTTCGAGTGTGATCAGACAACAAAAAATCAGACAATGACGGAACGGCCTGGGATTGAGTGATAGATCGATTAGCTGTGAAGGGTCCTGCTTGTCATGGGAAATTTCCCCAAACCCCTGATGGAGGTAGGGGGGCCTCGCCTTCTAGGACTTTAAAGGCTACAACCAAGAAATAGAGCTCTTCATGGCTCATTGCCGCGGGAACACAAGATCATAGGAGAGAATGGCTCTCCTAATCCGTTGATAGGGCACACTTTGTCGTGTACCCTGTTCCCTTATCTGGTTCACGTATGAACCATAGGTTCGCTCGCTCAAAAGTGATCCTTGCGGAGAATGGATAATCCCGCGAATATTGGCATACCTGGGGATAATGTCGGTGGGGTGAATCCCATCATCCACCAATGCAGCCTCGATGCTCCGCTCGACTATCAATTGTAGATCAATGATAGATATCATCCGGTGTAGGTTGGTATCCCCCCGAGATTCAGAAAAAGAAAGCGTCGGTACAGGATTTGCCTCCGGTCCTCGTCCGAAACAAGAGGTGGGTCCAATTGTGGAATCTCAGGAGGCATCGGTTCAGGAACCGGATCCTCCTGGGGGGGAGTTCCTGCCTCCTGAGGAGTCTTAGGGGAGGAGAAGGCGTGGAGGCCTTCACAATACGAAACCACCTCATTTTCATAAAACAGGAGTATTCCTATTATTATGAAAATGAAAAAGGGCATAAAAATCGAATAGGTCGAAGAAGAAAAAACCAAATATAAATGACGAATTCCATTAGAAATATGGTAAAAGGAAAAAAAGGCAATAATCCCAACGGAGATTAGGATGAGCTTTGATGAAAAAAAGAAGAATTGGTAGACATTCTCATAGGTGAAGCAAATCAAACCTATTTTAAGACAAAGAAGATAAAAAAAGAAAACGATAGTGGCTAGGAAAGCTCCGGAGATTCTATGGGAAATTGGAAACGTCGAAGTAAGCTGTGGCTTATAAATAGGAAGATGAGGAGAGTTGGGTCGAAGGATCTTTGGCATTTTTTGGATTCTATTCGAATATAGAAAATGATTCCCTCCAGAAAGAAAGAGAAAGGGAGTCCTTCCTTCCTGCCTGTAGGACTAGTGAAAAACGAAAGTGGACTTTTCTTTTTTTGGTTGTTGACCAACGGAAAGGATGGGAAGAATTGGGCGTAACATTCTTTTTCTTCTCTTACGATATTTCTAGGATAGAAAAGTAACTCAATTTCATCAGGCATTTCCTTTGCTAAGAGATAGGACTCACTTTAGAATCCAAAACTAAGACTCAAATCCGGTCTTTCTGCTGATTGAGATCTTCTTTGAGCTTCCAAAGTCACCTACTTCGCCAAAGGGTCGATGGAATTGAGAACTGCTTTCAAGGTAAAGGCAAATTCAGAAGGTCAAATTCCAACTCTTTTTCACATTTGTATAGTTCACATCCGCAGAGGGGACTCTTTCTGCTTCCTATTTCTTCCTTTCTCTTTCTTTCTTTTCCTAAATCAGACTCCTTCTCTCATGAGGTATAAGCGGATAAGATTCATCACTAGGCGGATAATCATCAGAACAGTTAGTCGGACTGGATCGAAAGGAAGGCAGCCTTTCATCAGAGGTTCTATTTAGAGAGCACGGCGCAGAGGAGGAGTGTCAAGAAAAAGAGATCGACTAAAGCAATCAGCTGCTCTTTCGGTCTTGGCGGCTAATGTTTTGACTCTACCTTTAGGTAGGGAGCGGAGTGAAGACTCTTGGTTCGACTGAAAGGAGAGGGACGTAGTTCACAACGGATTGCAATCCTCCGTTGAGGAGATCAGCCTGAATTACATGCATCCTCGTCTTCTCTTATTCAATTGATAGTTTGATCGAGAGCGGTAGACTTCTCCCCAATATGAGATAGGTTGCAGCTAGAGTAATAACTCAAACTGAGACAATTGCTTAATTATGACCAAGAAATAAGCTAAAGAGGAAAAGATCTTTAGAGAGGGGCCCGCCTCACCACTCCCCCCTCCCTTTCTCACGGAAGCAACCCAACAAAGGAGAACTCACCATGAGAAAGGCCTGCCTTTCTGTACGTGAAAGATGTCCTGCTCTTTCACTGTCATACTCCGACCACCATCTAGCAAAAATAAAGGCACTCCAGCCAAGCCTAGTATAACATCCCATGGCAAAGAAAAGACCTAAAGATAATAATTTCCCACCCACCGTAAACTAGGACTACCTTAATCCTTTCGAAAATAATAAACAAGTATGATCAGGAATCCGATCTGAATCCCGAGTCCCTGGAGCCAATTTGAATACAGAGCCAGATCAGCAGATCCACTACTCAATTGCCTAAGAAGAGCCCCCAAGACAAGGAAATAGGCAACGAGGAGGATTTGGATGCCCTCTCTCTTATTCGCTAAAAGGATATGGGACAAGGGCTTCTTGCTCCTTCTAGCCTTTAAAAGAGGGAAGCTGGCGAAGAAAAGATTGGACAAAAGGAAAACGAAAGCCACTAGAAAGAACGTCATGACGGATTTTGCCAGGAAAAAACCGATCGATAAATTTAGAATTATATATATAAAGAAGGAAATGATAACTTCATTTTTGCTTTCGGATAGCATAATTAGGTAGACAAGCGACGCTCCGGCAAAGAGAAAGAGAGTGTGAATGAGTATATGCGCCCCACTGCAATCTAAATAGAGCAGACGAAAAAAAGCAAGAGAAAAGATCACAGCGGCAAGAGCAATCAGAGTTTAGGAAAGCATTCCCATAGGATAGGAGGATTGGTTAGCTCATTAGAGCTTTTGATTCTTTTATTATCTTTCTAGTGACTTTGAAAGAAGGGATTTTGTCTAGCTTAGAGTAAGCCGGGAACCAAAAAAGGATTTGAATCCGAAGTTGAAAAAGGGAATGTAAATGCCAACATTGCATTCCAATTCCAAGTCGGTCGTCCCTACAAGACGAAATCATTTCTGCTTTGTTACGATTGATAAAAAGAGGAGCTCCTCCTCGTCTTGATCAAAAGTCACGAATAAGAGTTCCACATTCTTACTGAAAGAGTTCGCGGAAAAGAGGCACTCGGGGATATTCACTGCCTGTCATCTTGTGTGGTATAGCCAAATTCCCTCTGTCTTCGAATTTGGAAGAGAGCCGTTTCCCCGAATTAGCTTGCTTTTTGCCGACCTTCAATGCCTTCGATTAGGGGAATCGAAAGTGTGGCGTAGGTCAAATGTTGCTTAACATCCTACGAACCTTCCTTCTCCACAGAGTCTACAATGATGAAGTGATCGGAAAGTTTCTGCTAGAATGACTGGGGCAGGGTTTACTGTATGTTCCACCTGGGCTTTTCAGGACAAATGGTAATGAATCAACTCTTGGCAATCCGCTTCTGTCAAAGTCAGCGGTGTGGGAAGACTAGCAATTGATTCAGTATTCGGTGGTACAGCTCTCGTAGCCGGTCTTGAATAACCAGTGTAGGCAACAACCGGTGTTTCTGTTCTTGTTATCGGAAGAAAAGTCTTAGTTGAATAACCGTTGTTGTTGCGTCTTAGAGTGTTTGCAAGGTAACTAGAAATATCTTAGCATAAGAGAAGACAGATCGGATCGTAGCCGGGCCCCAAATCAAAGTCGGGGAGACTTCGTCACTTTCTTCTTTAAAGTCAAAGCGGAAAACTTAGAAATCCGTTCATCCCTAAGTTCCGTCGCTACCTGGAGAGCTAACAGCAGCTGATGAAATGGAAAGTGCCAGGCTAAAGGCAAAGAGCATATTCCTGCGAACCTTCGCAGAGATTAGCCACATTTTCACCCATGGTTCAAGAATGAGGCGATCCG